GTTCAACGTCCCTGCTTCAGCAATGGCGGAGTACATTACACGACTGGTAGTGTGTTGGTATGCAATGCTCTGCAGACAAGAATAAATAGCAGAAACCCCGGTAATGACCATTTTTGGAAAGGCAAAGAACTGGGGCATTACACTATGAGCCATAAAGCCAGACATGGTTGCTCACTTACGAATGGCATAGCAAAAAGGACGTAACTGCTCCATTTTTGACTACGTAAGATACGGTTGGCAGCTTTTGCTGCCACCTAAATATAACGCACGACTGGCGATACTTAGAGAAATTCATGTCGCACCTAAGCTCTTCCCATTGATAATCACACATTTCTTTACAATAATCAATAATAAAAAGGTAACATTTATTCACACCACCTTCGCAACTGACTTCTTTGGTGTCCGCCGCACGGCCGCCATCGCGCGCCCCTTGCACCCCCGCGATCAAGCCCCGCGATAAATTGTTTATTTCTCAGCACATTCGCTTTCTCGATCAATAATTCGGAGCGCACATGACGTGCATTGTTTTGGTCTTCCGTTCGGGTGAGAACTTTGAAAGTTCACCGCAACGTTTAGGAATGCGGCGCTATTTTGTCCGTTGGCAGCAAAAGCTGCCAAGCGTATCTAATGCGTATCTAAAGCGTATCAAAAAAAAAAAAAAAACGGCTGCAAAGCCGTGATTTTGGCAGCATCGTGTTCGCCTTGCTCAGGCGCGTCGAAGCATATACTTTTTGTTTGGGTGAAGTCAACTTAGGGTGTTGACCTCAGGTCACGGTCAGATCAGCGCCCCCAGGTCACGAAATTGGTCGAAGTAGGTCATGTTGCATATCATTCGATTCCGCAGGTCTTCCTGAGTCCATTGGTGTTTTTTTCCGACTCGCTAGGCTAGCTCAAATTGATCTGGAGTTATTGACGAAAATCTAATATGACCCTAATGACGTCATAAATGACGTCACACAAGGTCAACATTGCAAAAGTGACGCATGTAACCTTGCAAGGAGTGCATCAAAGCGCGATTTTGTGTGCTTGAGATAGTTGGAGATCGTTCCCGGTGCCAGAATAGCAGTTTTCATTTTCCCCATTGACTTATACCTAATGGTGAGGTCACAAAAATGACCTGACCTTAACCCGCGCCCCGCTGCTGGGCTATTCAGCCATACGCGCCCTGCTGGGGGGGGGGGGGCAGATGCTGCCCCCCTGTCTAACTTCCGAACCGATGATCGTAGTAAAACGGGAAAAACGGCAATCGAAAGCTCTCAACAAGGCGGATCTTAAGAGCCCAATTTTTTTGCTTAAGTAGTAGAGCACTTCACGGATAGGCTTTTTAGGATCCGGCCCGGCCCATATCCGGCAAGTCATATCCAGATCCGCCCATTATCCGCCTTTCTTTGAATATCAGAATCCGGCCCACCCATGGCCCGTATTGCAGCCAAACTTCCAAAAAATATCCGTAATAATCCGTTTCACCAATAACTGGTTTCACCCAAAACTGGACTAACAAATTCAATCTAAGGGACCAGACAGCCATACAAGTCTTGTGACAAGTGAGTGTCATAAAATGATGCCTATTACTTTAATCAAACCTCTGCTGCCGCTTAACACATTAGGCTAATTTTTAACTTCAATGTTGAATGTTAAAATTTTGATCCGTTTTGATCCGGGTTCAACCTTCAATTCCCAAATCCGGCCCGCCCATATCCGTTCTTTTTTAACAAATTTAGAATCCAATCCTATCCGGTCCGCGGATTTATCCGTGGATAACGGATTTATCCGGCCCATGAAGTGCTCTATTAAGTAGGTCAGAGGTCAGGTCAAGGTCAGGTCAAGGGTACAAAATGCAAGTTTCTACAGTATCGGCCTTGCACCGTAGTTGCCGAAGAATGGACTGAGACTGATTGCCCAAAACGTGCTCTTAGACTACCAAGACAATATTCGTTGCATACAATGTCATTCAAAGGTCAAGGTCAAGGTCAGGTCAGGTCAGGTCAGGTCACCAAAAACAAAATATAGAAAAGGGCATGTGCGACACATGTTTTATGGGTCATTTTACTCATAGAATTCAATAGGCACACTCAATAAGTGATATGGACCACCTCTGGATGAAGTCCAGGTCGAGGTCAGGTCAAGGTCAGGTTAAGTATTTTTTCTTTCCGTGCGAGGTCTAGAACTTCCAAAAAAGTCATTTTTCAAAAATTTTGTGTGTCGTGACGTCATAAAATTTTGAATAACTCCCACATTTTTGAACCAACTCTTCTAAAAATTAGTATGTAAGTGCACATAGACCACTTTTCTGACATATATTTCGTTTTTTTTTTCGATACACTCACAATTTTGGATTTAATAATTATTTTCCCAAAAAGTCAGTTTTTTTTTAAATAATTTGGGCCAAAATCCAAACTTTAAAAAAACGAGATAGCCATTTGATAGACAAAGTAGAATAACGTATAACCTTTTTGTAACGTCTTGATTCCTTTAAAAATGAAAATGTAAGCGGCGTTTGAAATTTTGCCGTTTTTGAGCCGAAAATGGCGAACATGACGTGACTAAAACGTCAATTTCTCAAAAAATTTCCAATGGATTTCGCTCAAATTTTCAGGGCACGTGTCAAATTGATGTGTGATAAAGTACTGAAAGTTTGACGTCGCTGGCGTAACGCATTTAGAAGTTATTGGCGGAAAACGGGAGGGGGGGGGGCAGATTCTGCCCCCCCCCCCCCCAGCGGGGCGCGGGTTAAGGAAAAATCCGAGATGTACAAGTTGTGAGACTCGTAATGAATCCTACAAGTTTCATTTCCCTGTGAAAGCTCATCTGACAGCGAGTGCGTTGCGAAGTTGCGATATCTGAAGACCGTGCAGAGGTTCACTTATGACGTCATAGGTCAGTGACCTGACCTGAGCTTGAATCAAAGGTCAGGTATGCCAAGCTTCAACTCTCTATCGCCAGCGTGTTTGGAGCTATCGCGAAAAAAACAATTAGGGCGGCGGCACCCGCCCCCGCCCCTCCTCGGCCAGTGAGGGTTAACCCTATTCCTGGCGGGCTCCGCCGGGACAAGAAACTGGCGGGGGGGCCGATTCGGACCCCCCCCTGAGATCTCGAGAACGAAGCAAGATAGCGACAAGCGGTAAACGGCATCGGATACGCACGGCCAAGATCTACAATTTTTACAAAGGTCATTTTCAGGTCAGGTCAAAGATGACGTCACAGGGGTCGAAAAAGTCAAAATGGCGGCACTAGATATGGAGAGAGTTTTTTTTCGAATAACTTTCGAATTAGTCAAGATAGGAACAAACTAAGGGCATCATCGTGATCCTCTCGTCAATCCGCATCGAATGATATATATGTTGACCTCGAAAGGTCAAGGTCAAAGGTTGACCTCAGGTCACGTGACCTCGAGGTCATCATGTATATCATTCGATGCGTCTTGACGAGCTGAACACAATGAGACCATCCACGCGTCTGTATCTTGTTCCTGTACGGAGTTATTGGCCAAAAACCTTTGGTGACCTTTGATGACGTCACATGACCTCACAGCTGCCCAACAGCAAAACAGACCTCAAGGTAGTGAAGGTTGATCGTATATGAAGTCATGTATGGTATATGGGGCCATTCCGACCCGTTTTAGTGGTAAAAACAGGGAGTTGATTTTCCCCCATTGACTTATAATGGGGAGGTCGCGAAATTGACCTGACCTTAGGTCACCGATATCAAAATTCCGAGATATACAAATGGCACATACTGGTACCCTAACTAAACCCTGAAGAGAAGAAATTGATCGGTCAAAAACTCTAGCTCTGGCGTGATTGCAAACTTTTCTGAGGTAGGGTCACCAAACCGCCTCTGGTGACCTGACCTGAGGTCAGATCAACTCAAAATTTTCAGACATGTTGCGGAGAAGCCTTTTAGGAAAAGTCAGAAAATTTGAGCTTCCTAGCTCAACGCGTTTGGGAGAAATAACCAAAAAACCTCAGGGGGGGGGGCTCCTGAGGCCCCCCCCGCCAGGAATAGGGTTAAGGCATTAAATTGATTACGTCCTTACCATTTTGAAAACAAAAATATTGATTAGTATCATTTGAAGTAAACCTGTAAAGGCGCATCTTCGGGTTTGAGAAAAAATCTGATAACGCGTTGTAAAAATAGCAACCAAAAAGGAATCGTTTAGTTTTACTAGATTTTGCTAACCCATTACTCACCGCCTGTGGCGCCATTGGTAGGTTCGGAAGATTTTTCATTTGTTATGACCAGAACAATCGAAGCATTATGTATATATTTCATCTTTCTGACGCCACCAGCTGTTGCAACGGGACCAACAAATTTGAACTTAACGTGGAAGCGTAAGAACGTAGGTAGGTACAATAAAATGGTTGACACGCACCACTGCCTCTGACAGATTACAGTTCATGACCCTGCTTAGGGCGCAGAAAATTGTACACTTTCAGTTGAATGTTAATTATGTCATGAATACATTTAGAGCTAATCATGTTCTTGCATTTGCAAAAAATGCCCATCGCCGATCGCTGAATATCGACCATTACCTATATTCCACCCAGATAAAAATGAATTTACGCAACGGTCAGGCTGTAAGATAAAAGATTAACAACTAAGAAGATTACTAACAATCTTTAATTAAATTTCATGTAAATCCATTACCTACCGTTATAGAAACTGCCAACAGGGGCGCGGGAACTACTTTCCGACTGGGGGCACACCATAATAGAGATCAACCTAGGGTACCCCCAAATCTAGTTTTCTTACCGGTTTTAGGCCACTTATTTTTCACCCCTCGTCTTTTCCAACAAAAAAGAAAACATTTGCAAAAAAAGTGTGGTAATCCGTCTCAAAGCTGTAGGGACACCGCCCCCACGGCCCCAGAGTTGGGGGGGGGGGGGCAAGCTGCCCCCACTGCCCCCCCCCCCGGCTCCCGCGCCTATGACTACCAAAAAGTGACATAACACTCCTTTTTAGCATCATACGGCTAAAAGAGCAAGACACATTCCACCTACCTGTTCGATGTTGAGCTGACCCAGGAAGGAGGTGGGCATGCAGTCCACGTAGAGGTGATACCGCAGCAGGTCCTGCATGATCTGACGCAGACGGACAGCGGCCTGGACGCGCTCACAAAACCTGGCTGGGTCCTCCGCGCAGAACATGACGTAGATGCGCGGCAGCAGGAAGTACTCGCGGACGTCGATGCGTCGCAGCATGTAGAGAGCTCGCGCCGGGTGGTAGCCGATGACTGCCGCCGGTGTCCAGACGTGCGGTCCCGATGATAGGGTGAAGATGATGTGTCGAGCCGTCAGCGCCTTGGACAGCGGGTCGACGACCATAGAGAGTCGACGCGACTGTTTCTCCTTCGGCAGGAACGCCATGACCGGCACGGGGTGCTGGAAGCCGTTCTCGACAGCGATGGTCAGCCACTCCTCTGGCAGCCTGTCGTCGAAGGAGGTGTCGTCGAACCAATGCAGAGGCAGTGTGCGTGCCGTGCGAGCGTTGGCGTCCGGCTCCAGGTCTAGCGCCTGCATCCGTCGCAGTCCAAGAAACTCCTCCAGGCTGTCGATATCGCTTTCACTGATGTCGCTTAAGTTTTCTACAACGCCTTCGTCGAGGGCCGGACTTAGCTCGGCTCTCTCGGACTGCTCTTCGGGACCGGCCGATGGAGGTTTTGGATGTTCCTTGCCGAGCTCCTCAACAGCAAGTGACTTGCGCAGTGGATCGTCCCTGGTCATCGTGTACACCTCGATGGCCAAATTCTTGCCAACCGAGAATCGTTTCGGAGTTGGGGCTCTACGGATGAGGGAGGAGCCATGCGACTCTTTTCTCTTCTTCAGAATAGACTTTCCCCTGGTGCGACCCTTTCCTTCTTTCTCACCAGTTTCGTCTGAGGCCAATGCCTCCTTGTCTGCAGATCCTCGACCACTTGATCCCTCGCCAGAACTCTTACTCCCTTTGCTCTTAGCCGAGCCTCCTGATCCAGAATGCTTACTTTTCGCCGATCCTGATGAACTGGAATGCTTGCTTTTTGCGGAGCCCTCACGGCTCGCTGACTTACCGTCCTTGATCTTGTCCTTCGCGGACCCATCTCTGCTAGAGCCAGAGCTCTTGGCGGAGCCTTGTTTGCTACCACTCTGACTTGAGCCTTCTTTGCTTGATCGCTTGCTTCCACCAGAACTACCTTTACTATCACTTTTGCTCTTAACTGAACCTTCCTTGCTGTCGGAGCTCTTGCTCTTTGCTGAGCCTTCCCTTTCGTCGGCGACACCAGCCCCTTCTTCTTCTTCCTCCTTTTCTTTTTCGGCCTGTCCGGTAGGTGGTTTCACGGACTTCCGATGCGACTTTCTTCGACTACCCCGTCTGGGAACATACATGGACTGTCGCTTCACACTGCCAACGTTGGATTCATCTTCCTCGTCGCTTCCGAACTCGGGCAGTTCTTCACCACTGTAGTACTCTTCCTCTTCCTCTTCTTCCTCGTCTGATATGTACATGTCTTCTTCCTCTTCCACTCCACCATCAGCAAGCATCCCAGCCATCACCTGTGAACACGGCATTAAGTGGTTTGCATGTTCAAGTTCTCATGCTCACAGACTTCGAACTCAAGGGTTACGTCTGTAACTCCACTCTGCACTCCAATCTCTCTCTCTCTCTCTCTCTCTCTCTCTCTCTCTCTCTCTCTCTCTCTCTCTCTCTCTCTCTCTCTCTCTCTCTCTCTCCACCTCTCTCTTATTCTCCCTGCTTTTTTCTCTCCCTCTCTATTCCTCGTCATTTCTCCCTTGCTTTTCTAAAACTCACCTTTTAAAAGCCTCATTTTCCCTCCTACACAGGTTCATTCTTGACGCGCCTCATAAGCCCCGGCAGTATCTTTCTCCTACCCTTAACTGCAAAAAGCATGTATGTGGTGGCTTACATTCTTATTGCTTTTGCCTCATTCATAATTCATCTACTTTCAACCTCCTCAACTTCCTACCCGTTTCGTTTGCCACCCCAGTGTCCTTTTCATCAGCGCCTCTCCCCTCACCAAACCATCCCACGACCTCCTTCTCTCACCTCCTCCAGAGGAGTCACTGTTGGCAGGATGCGGGGCGGCGGCGGCCGCTCGGCGCACGGGTCGGTCGGCGAGTTCAGGTCCGGGGTGAGCAGGTCGGTGTCGACGCCAGCCTCCTGCAGAAGCTGGCCGATGTCCTGTGAGAGAAACTGACGGCGACGCCTCTCGACGGCCACCCGCCTCGGACACGAACCGGGAGGTACTTGGTAGGCCATCTGAAGCTTCGGACGGAACGAACTCTCCGGGAAGTATCTGGTGGTAGGAGTGGTGGAATCATATTACATATGGCTGGCATAAAGCGTACTTACATCACGCATTATCATTATTCTTATCAGCCAACGCCAAATGTTTATATTTGGCATGGGCTGCTACGTACGGCACCACATCACAACAGCAAACACCAAACTGCACACTGTTTCGTAGCATATCTGTCAACATCATAACTTGAAAATGTCATGACGTTCGTGGATGATATTTCATTAGTGTGTTAGGTGGTGAATATGTGCTCGAACAGTTATTACATGGCTACCAGCTCACATAGGTTTTTGCTTGACAGCCAATTAAATTCAAAGAGAGCTGGTGGCGAAAATTTCAAAATTTTAGTCAACAATCAACAAAACTTGATATCGGGATACAAAACAAAAAACAGTTCAAGAAACCACGATATCGAATGATATCGTGATTTGAAATATCAAAAGGTACTAATATTGCTACTTACTTGATAGTATCGTCTGTGACATACTCTCCCAGAAATAAGTCACTCTCCTGTTCGTTAAGATCTTGGTTGGGATGTACATTGTCGTCCTCTGAAAAGTGTACAAAATATTGACGTAAATATTACAGGTTTTGGGTTGTCCTTATTTTCTAAGGCAGCATATTCTGTAAAAAAAAAAAAAACATACACTTTCTATCGTACCTGTTTCGAAGGTAATTGGTAGCTTGCACGTTTTTTGCTCAAAGCAATTTAATATTATTGATATTTTCCTTATGTCAAATTCCACTAGAGTTGATAACGATATTAACTTCAATAACGTTCATCTCGTGATCGCAAGTGACTTTAAAATCTAGTAAAAATATATTATAGGCAGTTGTAATATATATTTACCTAATGTTGATGGAATAAAGATCTTACAATTATCCTAAAATCTAATTCTTTTTCCGGGACCTTAGCAATCAGCGTGTGGTGAAATGCATAAATCAATTGATAGTTGTTACAATGTCCAAGTACTTACTGCAACGAAATGTTTCAGCCAATGCGCCTCTTGTCTCAACCTTGCTTTCCCAGCGTTTCTGAAGGTGTTGAAATGCTCCTGTTTTAGAATAAGGGTCATCTTGGTCTTCCTTTTTAGCATTTGTATCAGTAACAAGAGCCGAAAAATAAGAATGCTCCATGATACCGCACTTTAACTAAACAGATTGCGTCAAAATGGGTATAAGCATTACCCTGGCTTGTTTCAACCTGCCTACCTCATTTCAATGGCAACACTCGTCACACACCGCAAAACATTAAATTATGCAGACGGCATCAAGCTAATGACTTGACCAAGGCCGGCTTGACTGGTGTTTTCGAAAACGCACATGACTTGTCTGCGACTTTTCCAACGTTTCCATTGCATTTCCATTCCTCTTCGGCGTGGGTTATTTTATAAGCTTCACTCTCCGACTGTCTTGCGCAGTTGCTTGCATAGGTCTTCCGGGTCTTCCATTCTGACCATACGTAGACGTTTGAACGCTCGCGCATGTAACGTATGGAGATCTTTCAGCTCTACCAATAGATATTCGTTTACGATGCCCTGACAGTGAAATATAAGTATTTTGTTCCATCTTATTGAAATAGTAGTTCCTTATCTGTCCTGCTTATCTGCATAATATATATTGGGTTGCTGACCTGCGCATAACGTAAATGCCAGCCGAAAGCTTGCCGAAAGTCATTGACTGAAGAGGGGTGGGGGAGGGTGAGCATTTAATAATAGCGTGCCTCCAAAAATAACCACAGTGAGACTTGGCACAAGGCAGCGCTGGAAAAGTTTTACCGAGGCACCTTTTGAACATCTTAGAAATTGAATGATCATAATCAATGAAAAGTAAAGGCCATTTCTCCTGGTGGATATTCTCCTACAGGTGGATTAGTAGTGAATATGTCATATGCAAGAATTTTTTTTAAATCAAGACGATGGCACTGTGACGAGCTCGAATGTTTGTGTGCTATATCTTGTTTTGTCTGTGATTATGTCATGCTGATGAAGATTTAATAATCGAAACGCGTCCATTCACTATTTGTTCCGTGTTTTTCATTAAAAACAGTGTCGCCATCATTAAGCACAACATTGGAAGGGAAAATATTTGATTTCGAAATCAACTTCTAGGATATGTCATAAAAGTTGGCATTATAATTTCTATTAAAACCATTGAATACAAAGTTAACCATGTTACCCACGACCTCTCATATCAACACTGTGATTTGACTAACGTCGATTTAGCCATCAGCCTTGAACTTCGTCCAAATAAACGTATTTCCCATAAAAAGTAGATCAGTCGACGAAGGACGCGATTGAATATGACACGAGTACGATACTAGCAAACGTGCTGTTCTGTGACCATTTTCCTTTTTAACCCTCGCCCTGGCAGGTGGGGGGGGGTCGATGCGACCCCCCCTAAGGTTTTTCAAAGATAGCGTAAAAACGGCGGCGCGCAGCGCCGCCAAATTTGGCACAGCCTATGGAGCAACCTTTTTACATATGACCTGAAAAATTTCAGGTCCGGGTGACCTTGGGTCAGGTCACCAGGTCAGAAAAACCGGTACAAGGTCATGGTCAAATTTCAATTTTCTTTTTGCACCTGTCCAACTCACAGTTTTGCACTGATTTCCTTCAAACTTTCAGGATGTGCTAAGGTCACCGAGTTGTATAACATATAGTTCGGGTTTTTTGAGGTCACTAACCTGAGGTCAGTTAGAGGTCATTACGTCGTAATGTTAGGCCTATGGGAAGATACTAAATTCGGAAAATACTGGAGATATCCGCTTCGTTCTATCACTTTGGTGCTTTGAAACCACAGTACTTAACAGCAGGTCACTTGGTGCTTCTTTGTTTGGTGTACTTATCCATGGGTCAGGTCAAATGAGGTCAACTGAGGTCAAATGACGTTTTTGCCAATAACTTGGCACATAATGACGCTAGAGCTTAAAAAATGGTATCATTGTGTTCCTGGTGATCAGCCGAATCGCATGATATGCGATATGATGCAATTTGGTTAACTTTAACCCGCGACCGCCTGGGGGGGGGTCGGATCCGACCCCCCCCCCCTCCGTTTTTCTTGAATAACTTATGAACCGCTGACGCTATCGACTTGAAACTTGGCATACCTTCTCCCCCATCAATTTGACGTCTCCTGTGCAATTTTGAAGAATCTTTTTTTAATTTTTTTTTAGATATATCGATTTTAGTGATGTAACTACATGGCGTTTTCAGTCAAAAAGTGGTAAATGTTTAAAAAATCGCCAAAAATCAGGGTTTAAAGCATATTGCAAATTAATGACATGAATAGATGCAGCTCAACGAGTTCTTTAAAACGGCTATCTCGGATTTTCCATAAAATGCGTTTTTTACCCCTAAAAATTCAAAAAGTTATATTTTTGGGAAAACAGCTCATAAAATCCAAAATTTTGAGAATTTCCAAAAAAAACGGAATATATGTTATAGAGCTCTATTAGAACATTAGATGTCCCAAATTTCAACTTTCTATCTTGATTTTTGACCCCCAAATTGTAAAAAATAGCTCCAATATGCATAGGGCATGGTGACGTCATAAGCATTTTCGTGAATTAGAGGCACTTCTGAACATCGCATGTCAAAACAAATGGCACCACTAGATTCCTGGGACAAAGCTCGTCTAGAAAAGTGTATTTTTATGTCAAAAATAAAAAGTTGAAAAATTGACCTTTTTTCTTAGCCCTCTCTTAGTTATGTATGGTATAAACGACTTTTTATGCTTTCAATGCACACTTATCACCAAGCACAGTGACTTGGGGTCACATATAACCATTACCATCGGATTCGGCGTGAAAAATAAGCCATAAAACATGTGTCGCACGCCCATGTAGCAGAAAGTGAAAACCGTGACCTTTCGTGACCTGACCTGACCTTGACCCGTACTTAGTATGACCCCTATACGCACATGGTACCTTCACTAGGCCTTTGAGGTCATTTTTGGTGAGTTTCGAGCAGCAGCTGTCGATTCCGCTGTCCGTAAGCCTAATCATGCAAAACCCCAGAATTTGACTTTTGACCTGACCTTGACCCGAAAGTTGACCTCAATCTTAAAATCTTAAGAGTGCTTTGGGAAGGTGTCGTAGAGACCTTTCGAACGCCGCCTCGCGGGGCTCGATACGACCATTGGTTCTCGAGATAACAGGGGGGGGGGTCGGATCCGACCCCCCCCCCAGGCTGATGTGGGTACGGAAATAGCCCAGGCGGTGCCGGGTTAACTTAATTTATTAATTTAAGTTTACTTAAAATTTAAGAAAAACTTTAAGTACACTTAAGCAAGCTAAAAAGTATATCATTCGACGCGCCTTGACGTGCTGAGTTCACTGGTGCTTTTATTTTTGCTCTATCTTAATTAGATCAAAAGTTATAAGCGAAAAACTTTTGACCTGTTTTTAGCGAAATTTTTACATTTATACCCCCCAAAACATAGGCGGCGGAACGGGGGGGGGCACCGGGGCACCGTGCCCCCCCTTGAATTCTGCAAGGGGGGCACCAATAGCAAGGTGCCCCCCTTAAATTTGATGTATTAGTACCAGGGGCGGATTCGGGAAAACTCCAAGGAGAGGGTCATGAATCGAAGTGGTGCCCCTACCTATGCCCAAAATTAAAACCTCAACGGATTTCGGCCACTTTATTTTGGTGGTGCCGGCCTATTTTCAGTTTTTTTCTTTATTTTTGGTTAGTCATGTGATGACTGGTGCCCCTGCTAAGCCGCTGGTGCCCCTGGGAAGACTGTGGTACCTACCTACCCTGCCCCCTGACAAGCCTACGGTGGGCCCTGACATGACTTAGGTGCCCATGGGCCCTGACAGGCCCGTGGTGCCCCTGACAGGCCTGTGGTGTCCTTGCTAGGCCTGTGGTGTCCCTGGGCCTTGGCAGGTTTGTGGTGCCCCTGTTACAACGCAGGTGCCCTTGACAGGTTTGTGGTGCCTCTGACAATCCTAAATTGCCAACGACAGGCTTGTGGTGCCCTTGACAGGCCCATGGTGCCCTTGCGAAGCCGGTGGTTCCCCTGCGAAGCCGATAGTGTCCCTGACAGGCCTCTGGTGCCCCTGGCAGGTCTGTGGTGCCTCGGGAAGACCTGTAGTGCTTTTGCTAGGCCGATGGTGCTCCTGACAGGCCTGTGGTGCCACTGACAGGCCCGTGGTGCCCCTGCTAGGCCTTTGGCACCCCTGGCGGGCCTGTGGTGCCCCTGTCGGCTGTCAGGCCTGTGGTGCTCCTGGCAGGCATGTGGTGACCCCAGGCCCTAAGTCATGACCCATGTGACCTCCACCCTGGGATTCGCCACTGATTAGTATTGCGATGGCTTCTTGGGAATTATACATGTAGGATAAATGGAATTTATCAAACGACAATAAGGAAGAGACAAACACATAGGTACTTTTTTAAAATTTAGTCCGAATGGCTGAATGGGCGGATTTGAGGAATCAGAGTCTGCACTAAGCATAGCTTGTTGTGCTGACCCTGACCCCACCACCCGATCGCGCAATGCCAGTTGTATGGCAGAATTTTGTCCGAACGTTTAACGTGCCCTCACGATTGGACACGGTCCCCTCCGCTCACTCACGTTACCTGGCTTCTGTGCGGCCCCTGCCACAGACACGCACGCCATTACACGTAGGAGCTAAATGTGGCCGCCCGCACCGGGGCTTGAACCGGGCTCTCACTTCCGGCTAGGCGTCGAATTCCGGCGCTTTTATCCACTCGGCCACGGAGAGGACTTCAGTACTTGAGTACTTGAGGATCAGCTTAAAGTTAACCACACATACGGGCAGGGGTGTAATTTTCCTAAAATGATTGTGGGTGCCCAGCTGTAGGGGCGCCCGGCGCCAGGCCGTTTTGGGGCGCGATAGATATTCTTTATGTGGGAGCCTAAATTAACACCGAATTTGATAACATTGCTAGCCGAATGGCGCTTCAAGTGACGTGTCTGACTAAGCAAATACACGCTTAAAAGTGGAAACTGACCGGAAGTCCGGAAGGACGTAAAAAATATGTAGAGAGGCGCTATCCAGTAGGAGGGGCACCAAATGTGGAGGCGCCAGACGGTTACGACTTACGAGGGCGCCGTGAGACGATGAAAAGGGCGCCATTCTCTTAGGAGGGCGCCGAGTGATTGAAAACGCTATGTGGTCCAGGGGCGCTAAGAGGCCAGAAGGGCGCCGCACAGTCAGTAGTGCTACGTTGGTGGGGACGTGGGGGCGCCAGATGGTTACGAGGGCGCCTTGAGATCATGAAAAGGGCGCCATTCTCGTAAAAGGGTGCCGAATGATTGAAAACGCTATATGTGGTTCAGGGGCGCTGAGAGGCCAGAAGGGCGCCGAATAGTCGAGGGATGCACGGTGAACAGAGACCTAAGGACGCGAGGCGGTCAGGAGGGCGCCGTTAGACCATGAG